TTATTTATTTATTTTTGTATTCATACGTCAAGCATCATAATTATGGTAGTATCATAAGTCACCATTACAACAAAATTAATATCCATATTTCATACTAAAGTGGGTACCTCTTTTGATCCAAGAAATAACTGAAAACTCTTTTGGGGCTTGGTGAATTGAATCGCGTTTTGAATCAAAAGTTTTAGTTTCATACTTATTGTATGCCTTGTCATAAATACTCTATTTACCCTCTCCCTCTTTTTATAGCACAAATTGTCAGTGCTTCGCACGGCCACAAACTTTATTTAGTTTTCCCTGGTCTTCATGTAACATACTGATGCCCTCATCGACTAAGAATCTATGTGTTCTTGGGCATGACACTGCTCTCACAGCGCGGCGAATTTAATGCTGGGGGTAACCCTGCAATGGAATTAACATCCCATCCAGAGGGGTAGTAGAAATACTCCTAGTCGCTCGATGATACGGAGCCGGAGATACGTGCGGGCCTGATGAGCCATTACGTTCGAACGCAGACTTTCCTTTTGTCTGTATTACCTAAACATTCCTCAAAATTCTTAACCACAGGATTTACGGTATTAGTCTTATCCTAAATGCTCATTTTCATCGCTTTATGTAATTACTGGCATTCGTTAAAAAAAAAAGGCACTGCCTAGTTAGCGCTAAACAATCCTAGTTGGGGACTAAAGTTGCGTCTTGATGTTCAAGACAAGCTCAAGTCGTTCTGTCTGCAAAAGACATATACATGTGGTTGCCATGCAACAGAAACTGGGCCAGATTACATTTTTAATTTAGTGTTACTGATCTGAGAAGTAATACAGTGCAGGTTTGAAAAATAAAAAGGGATAAATAAGATAGTTAATATAAGAAAAACTACACACATTAATTTTTTAGCTATTGAGAGTGTAACAAAGTGCAAAGCTAGATACAAACTTGTGATAACTTGTAAACTTTCCACTTGGGAAACACTGAAAAATGGATCGTATCACAGAAAAGCACTGCTCATTAGCCTTCCTTTGGTTGGTCACATTAGAGGATTTCAGTCACAGACAAACAGTTAAAACCCCATATATATGCGACTCAAATCTTTTGTCACAATGAATAAATACTAAACGCTGTAACAAGCTACCAAAACTATTTTTCGCAACGTGTGCTGATCTACCGTAGAAAGGTTAAATGTATTTTGTAATAAAATTTATTGTCAAAACTAGAATCTTGTCACTTTTACATTAACTTACAGTTACTTAATTCAGAATTCTTTGAAGACTGAAACCAGGGAATACTTCAGAAGTTAGCATCAGTAAGTGAAAATCCAGGAACAGTTATTTTGGTCGATTACTTTTTATCTTCTGTCGCAACTTTTTCAATCCTCCCAAACCCATGCAGTATGTTATGGCCACCCTTCCTATCCTAAGACGTCTTCATCACTGATACGGCTATGACGAAACACGTCCGTTTTCACTTAGCATAAAGCACGCGTTTTCCACACTTTTTGTAATATATCAAACACGAAAGACCGTGTTTTATCACATTTCCAAACACCGAGAAGAGAGTTGGAAAATACGACGCACAGCGGAGTATTTTTGATGATCCTCGAGGTGTTAGGCAATGTGGTCAAACATTGTCTTGAGTGTTTGATATATCTCCTCAATCGAAACTAAAACCAAGGAGAAAATAGAGAAATAACATCGTAAAAATCTATGCTAATTAAGATCAGACATCTAAACATCGTCACGGTCATGATTTCCTTTGTTTTGAACAAACTTGATGAATTATTAATGAGTTTGAGAAGACTACTTCTGGTTCTGTGCAGTTTCATCAAACTAATTCGGTAAACTGGCTCAGGTGCTTGAAAAAGGATTAGACATCATGGGAAGCTACGGCTCTCGCTCACTGCCGTACGTTCAACCTCTTCGAGGTTGCGATAACTGAAACTACCTCTGAATTGGGACCAAGATGTGAGAAATTTAAGGGGATGGTTTTACGGCACGGGCATGTCTGTATTATTTATTCGCACGCTTTTTGTCAAAGGCCCAGGTTTTCATTGTTTATGAACCAATCGTACGCCAGTTATCTAATTTCGCATGCATGCAAATAGCCGTAAACTCGTCAACTGTAGAATTCATCGTACCGGTCAACACTAAATTCAACGGTCGTCAGCGTCGGTAAAATCCACTGAAATCTTCTGAGAAAATTTGGTCACCCGTCATTCTGCCACGACTAACTGCAGTGTGTGATTACTGAACTACAACCGAGTTGGGTTTTTAAAGCGATAACATTGACAAGAAGCGAACTAAAGTATTTTGATGTAGAGACATGCACCAAACCGTGAAACCCTCCCTTTAAAAACAGTACTGAAAGCGTACTCTAGTCAGCCACGATGAAGCTTTTCTGTGGACTGGTAGCAATGCAATTTGACAGGTATTTGATTGACATTATTATGCAAGTGTTATGGAAGTCATTAATATTATTACGTACTACTTTAAACACGTTAAGAGTACGTAGAAAAATCAATACATTAACATGTCAGAATGGTTGCATGTTAGCCTATTAGCCGATACCCTGTCACCATGTACCATGTTACAACGTCACTTGGTACATACCAAAAAATATGGTGATGTTCCCGAAGAATTCCATTACAAGATTTAAGACCCTTGAACACTTGTCAAAAACATTTTGAAACGATCTTGCCGAATTTGCCTCTAGGTATGTATGAAGTTTAAGGAAAGTACATAGTGGTATAAGTTTTTACGTAGCAACGGTCATAACAACGGCTGTTTACAGTAAGAACATGACCAAAAATATAGATTAGCTTTAACATATATGAACGATTCTTTGTAGTAAAGCTGTGAAGAGATGCACAACTCGATTGGTATAATTACTTGAGAAAAGCTTTACCTGATTTACCATCACAGGCTATTTCATTTCCCTTATGAAAGGAACATTTTTAACAACTGCGGTAACTTTTTACAAAATAGAACAACCATTACACCCTCCTCCGAGATCCAATCTGCACCACCCCTCCCCCCGCAATGTTTGGCTTGCTAAATGCTTAAGGGCCCATTAACCGATCTTTTCGAGCCGTTGCTAAGGAAAATTCAGTCTCATCTAACCTCCTC